AAAATTGCCTGAGAAGATCACCAAACCCTTAGTACTGATTTCTCAGCATATACCGCATCGCCGAATTTCCAGAGAATCGGGGGAAGTAACTGTTGAGTCATTGTATAAAAACCAGTAACCGATGTGTCCCAGGTAAGCAGGAACCGAAGCTGGGCTAGGCTGACACCAACCTTCGGCAAAAGCGGTAAGGAGGGCGATGAAGCATGCAGTCAACACAGAATTAAACTGCGACGGTACTAGAGTTAACACGTTAACAGAAAATAGATGGTTTTAATTTTTTTTTTGAGGGAGGCGACCATTCTGATTTGAGTCAGAGCCGCTCAGTATTACGTCTGATCCATGGGCGGCTGCCAAAACGGGCAGTTTTGTTTCTCCTTTTCTTTTCCTCTCATTTCTTAAATAGTGGTCACATGCCTGCCCGGTAAATCAGCTCAGCTCACTGGGCCAAGAGAAAACTGTGCCTTTTCTTTTCTTTTTATTATTGGCAGAGTTTTCTGCTGGATCCCCGTGCCGGGCTGACTCACCCCGGGGCCGTGGAGTCACCGGAGCTGGCACGGGAAGCCAAGAGCGCTGCTGGGGCGATGGGGTGCTCTGCCAGGTGGATGTAGCCCCTGTTTAGTCACTGCTGGGGTTGCGTGCGATGAGATATAACGGTCGACGGCTCCCTTAATCTGCAATGGAGGAGAACTATTGGAAAAAACACGGTACTATGTGAAAATAAACATAGACCCTATTGTGGTTTACAGACCCCCTAAATGGTTTACAGCGCTCTTCAAAATCTTTAACTGATGCATCTGAAAACGTAATCCGTCATCCACCTGAGGGTGTGTTTAGTGAAGTCACACAGGTGTCCCTTCTTGCCCTTACGCTATTGATTATCTTTATATGTTACCTGGAAGTAGTAAAAATGATTTCTGATACAGTGTCTGGAGAGACGCGTAAGTCAGTGGGACAGTAATGGAGCGGGCCGTCGGGCACGCCGCCCGAGCTGGCTTTCTTGGCTGGGCGTTTCTGAGCAATGCAAGTTTTATAAAATTAAACACCGGCTTCCAGGCGCTGAGAGCAGAGCTCACCCAAGTCCCAGCTGAGCACGCCACGGAGAGCAGTGACAGGGGAGAGGGCTGCCGATGAGGGAGAGAACAGGGAGCTGAGCACTGGGCACGTTCCTTGGACACCATTACATTTCCAGATAAGCATATCGTTAGCTGATGGCAAAGGCAGTTGACAGAAGTAGAGGCGGGTTATTAAAGGCAGGCATGTATCTGACAGCGGGGTGTGCAAAGACCCCTTGGCACTCCTGTCGGGTTGAGGGGGAGAGGAGCTGAGCGACCCACTGGCTTTTTTGAATGGGGGGGACACGAGGGGGACGACTGGGTTGTGTCCCGCACCTGGCCTGGGGTCTGCGAGGGACCCCCTGGGCGGGTGGTGCCTCTGCTGCGGCGTCCCGGGACGCGCAGGAGGGATGGTCACCTCTTACGGGGGGTTCTCCATGAGCCGTTCCCCACCCTCTCTCGCCACTATGTAACATACTGGAAAGGCTGGAAAAGCTGCCTGTCGGAAAAGGACCTGGGGGTGCTGGTCGACAGCCGGCTGAACATGAGCCGGCAGTGTGCCCAGGTGGCCAAGAAGGCCAATGGCATCCTGGCCTGTATCAGAAATAGTGTGGCCAGCAGGAGTAGGGAAGTGATCGTGCCCCTGTACTCGGCACTGGTGAGGCCGCACCTCGAATACTGTGTTCAGTTTTGGGCCCCTCACTACAAGAAGGACGTTGAGGTGCTGGAGCGTGTCCAGAGAAGGGCAACGAGGCTGTTGAGGGGTCTGGAGAACAAGTCTGATGAGGAGCGGCTGAGGGAACTGGGGTTGTTTAGCCTGGAGAAAAGGAGGCTGAGGGGAGACCTCATCGCTCTCTACAACTACCTGAAAGGAGGTTGTAGCGAGGTGGGGGTCGGTCTCTTCTCCCAAGTAACAAGCGATAGGACGAGAGGAAATGGCCTCAAGTTGCGCCAGGGGAGGTTTAGATTGGACGTGAGGAAAAATGTCTTTACTGAAAGAGTGGTGAAACATTGGACCAGGCTGCCCAGGGAAGTGGTGGAGTCCCCATCCCTGGAGGTATTTAAAAGACGTGTAGATGAGGCGCTTAGGGACATGGTTTAGTGGGCATGGTGGTGTTGGGTTGACGGTTGGACTCGATGATCTTAGAGGTCTTTTCCAACCTTAATGATTCTATGATTCTATATGGAGTGGTCACACACAGTTATGCAGTGGCCTGCTCCTCTGGGCGCCACGGTTGACTTTCAAGCCCACCATGGCGTGAATGCCTGTGCTGGATGGGGTCAATTCCTCCAACAGAGGCTTTAAAGGTCTTGGCCCAGTACCCTCTGCGGTGCTGCTCCCCACCCCATGGCAACTGAGGACTGGGGGTAGCTCAGGAGGGTACCTTGAGGAGTGAGCCCCCGGCTCTGCGGGGATGTCTGCCCTGCAGCTTTTAGGGGCAATGTCCAGCCCCCCAGTGCCTGTAGGACACCCCACAGCCAGCACCTGCAGCCTGGGGGACCCCCACGAGCCTCCGCTCCCGCTCTGGGGTGAGGCCTTGCAGCCCAATGCCCACCGCCATCCCCGGCTGAGACCCCCGGCACAGCCCCACACATGCGGGTCCCCAGGGAGCCCCCAGCCTGCTCCCACAGGGGTCCCACCCCTGTCCAAAGCGCCTCCCTGAGCCCCACTGCCCCAGAGTCCCCCATAGCCATGTCCCCCCCCAAACAC